GATATAGAATATTTATGTATTGGTTATGATTGTATATAGGTTTAAAGGATTTGGATAGTCCGATAAACAAAGGTTATGCTGTCCATTTTTATTTAAATGGTAGCTGTCATAATTTGATGATAAGTTTTGATTCTATGCAATTATGAGACTGTATAGTTTATTGTCATGTTGTGAACATAAAGGATAAAGTTTTAATTATTCACGTAGTTTCAAGAGAGCTATCATGATACTCTATAAGTCTTCTGCTATTTTAAATCATATAAGTGCGCATCTGCACCTTAATTGCGTAACAATCCGGTTAGGTAAACTGGGGTGTTACACTTACAAGATTTCATTTATATTGCATATGTTTTATTATCATACCCACACTAACGGAATGTGCAACTTTCTAACTAAACACCAACCTCCAGTAACTAACATCAATCTTCTAACGGTTATAGTTTATTTGAAATTAATAATTAATTAATTAGTATAACTCAATAAATTATAACCTTAGATGAACGAAAATAATCGGTTGAGATGGGAAGTAAGACTTCTATGTCTTATACCAGAGTCAAAAGATTTCACTCCATATATATATATATATATATATATATATATGGAGAAGGATATACTTACTACCAAAAAAGTTTACCACCTTTACAATCAATTTAATCAACGTTGATTTCCGTCAATCTAATGGTGATAATTTATAGAAAATTATTGGGTCTCATTTACTAATTAATTATTATTTCCAATAAATTATAACCGTTAGATTAACGGAAATCAACGGTGATTAGGTTGGTTGTAAAGGTGGAAAACTTTTTTGGTGGTAAGTATATCTTTTCCCTATATATGTATATGAAAAAAAGTATTTCTACAGCCACTTTAGATAACATTATTTACAATTATCCCTTTTTAACTAAGTCTGACTAGTAAGACATAGTTATAACAATAAAGTTGTTCTTTATTTTCGCTCTCCTCAAACATTGTCGGCTGACATGACGAAAAGAGAAAATACAAGTTTTATGCCTTACTGGTCAGACTTAATTAAAAAGGGGTAGTTGTAGACAATCTTATCTAAAGTGGCTGTAGAAATATTTAACCCTATATATATGTGTGTGTGTGTGTTAGAAATTTTATATGTGGGCAACATGAATTAATATTTTTGTATTTTTTAAAATAATTGGATTAATGTTTAAAGTGGCTGTAAAAATATTTAACCCTATATATATATATATATATATATATATATATATATATATATAAAGGATCCTTTGACACCAGTGTCAAATTTGAAATTTGACACCTCATCTTATAGCCGTTAGATAAAAAATGATCAATGGTGTCACATGCTTACAAATCAGATTCGTTGATCTTTTTTGATCTAACGGCTATTAGATGAGGTGTCAAAATTCAAATTTGACTCTGGTGTCAAATGATCCTACCTCATATATGTGTGTGTGTGTTAGAAATTTTATATGTGGGCAATATGAATTAATATTTTGTATTTTCTAAAATAATTGGAATAGTGGATATTCCAATTTAATTTATTGTGATAAGCCCGTTGTGATCATGTTGAGTTGGGCTTTTGGCATCTATTCACATTGGGCCTAGTTGGGCAACACAGTATAGACATTAATGTCTGATTGAGCTTCTGTGATGGGTGGACCCATCACTATTGATTAGGGTTTTGCTAGGTCTCCTCTGTAGCCTATTTATATTGGGGTTAAGTTCCATGAGCCGTCATACTCACATCGCACTGAGGCTGTCATTTTCGGAATAGATCATAGAGAGAAAGATCCTGATACGTAGTCTGCCTTCTTTCCTCCAGTTTTGTGATGGTCCAACAAAATACGTTCATTTACCCATTTGATTATATATTGTTTGTTATTTTATAATTTTTTAAATCTTTCAATATATTCAAGGGTTCACTTTTTCTGCTATTACTGCAAATAAGTTATCTGCAGTAAGCCCAATACGACGTCATTTTGGGACGAAAATCATGGTATTTTTGTAATTTTAATTTATTTCAGGGTTATTATAGTCTTTATAATTATAATTTTCTAATCTTTCAATCACAAAACGATATCGTTTTAAAAATAAATACAGATAATTTATCTGCATTAACTGCAAAAATATTTTTGTGTATATTGAATCTTCTCATTTATCTTCATCTTTATTCCGTACATTAACCCACCTAACTTAATAAAAGATAGTGCGTTGCATTGACGATCAGAGAATGGTTAAAGTCGAAGGGAGAAAAATTTAAGCAATTGGTGAGGGGTAAAATGTGTGTCATTTTAAAGGATGTAAAGTTGTATCATTTTAAGAGAGAGAAAGAGATAGATAAAGTAGAAAAGAGAGTTAACAAAAAAAAAAAATAAAGGTGTGAGTCCCACTTCTTTATAAGAGTGAAAAAATATAAATTATATCATTTAAAAAGATAAACACTCTTCCAAAGAATTAACAAGTGAGGTTTGGCTTGGCCCCAAATCCAATACATCGCTTTCCTCTATTTTCAATTCCAAATAAAAAATAAATAAAAGTGCTGCACAAAACACTTTGAGTATTTTCAGAGGGCAGAAAATGAAAAATAAACTCAATCAATTTTTTAAAAACAAAATTTCATATTTTTATTGATAAAAGGTTAGGATGCTCTAATGCTTGAGTGTTGTATAATTCAAGAGAAAAATGAACTGCTTAGATATTCAAATCAAATTATAAAATATATATTAATTGTTAATGGTATAACACCTACTATAAACTTTCTTTTACGCCTTATTATATGGCCTTTTCGAAAGGAAAAAAATTTATTTGAAATTTTTTATTATATAAAGGTTTTTAGACAGACAAAAAAAATTTAATTTTTTAATTAATATAAATTTTAATAAATTTATTATATAGCCTATAAAAATTAATATATTATATCAATTTATAACTAATAATTTGAATTTTTTAATTATATATATTAATAGTAAATAAATTGATAGGCTGAGTAAGTTTTTGAAAGACTTAAACATTAAATTAATTAAATAATATTATTACGACTAAATATAATTTATTCATTAAATAAATTAAATTAAACACAAATTATGCCGTAAATCTTTAATAAATCACCTAACTTATTCTTATTTATATTTGCCACTAATAAATTTCAAATATGTCATTCACGAACGCGCACCTTCAACAAGAAATTAAAATTCTAAAAGCAAAAAAAATGGAATATGTTTGAATTCACCTAAACATTACGTTTGGGTTTGAGATTTATTGTAAAAGATAAAATTATCTCCTATATTTATTAGGGATATTCATCAACTGATCCAAACCGATTCAAACCGTGGTGATCGAATCGAAAAATCGACAATCGAATAAATCGAAAATTGAAAAACAGAAAACTGAAAAAAAATCGTAAATCTTAATTGGATTGGATCAGTTTTTGGATTGGTTGATAAAAACCGATCCAATCCAAATCGATCGAATATATTAATTCTCCCTTACCTACTTGGGTCTTTCTCTAATCATAGCTCAAAAATTTCTAAACCTTAGACTCATTAATTCATCAATTAAATCCAAGAAAGAACTTCGTTACATCTCATCAACAAAATTATATCTGTGTAGAGCTTCATATCTTATTGCAAAAAAAAACTATGTTTTTGTATTTCAAAAAAAAAATAAAATTACAAAGCAAATATATACAAAAGATATTATTTACACAATAATAATAAAACAAATTATAGGATTTTCAGAAAACCAAAAACTGATACAATTCAAATAAAAAAAAATTGGATTGAATCAGATTCGATTTGAAAAAAAAAATCCAAAACGAATGGATGATTACATGATCAAATCGATGGAATTTGATCGATTTTTTTATTTCCAAAACATATCCAAAGAAGACTATAAAAACAATATAAATTTCATACACTTTTTTGTCTATATAGAAAATAATTTTATCTATTAAACCTGTATTTTGTTTTTTCAAAATAAAAAAGTTACCAAAATTAGTTATTCACGTACTTTCCTTTTCTGTCTTGCACTTGTGGTGGTCTCTTCTCTCTCTCTAACGCTGTTACTTGATTTGCAATATCAGCTCTTTTTGTCTCTGAAAATCAGAGATACTTTCGAAAAAAACATCTTACAAGAGAGATCCATTTAACAAATGGTTTTATAATATAACTTTACTTTCCTACACACACATTAAAGAAGCGGAGTTTACATGTTTTTTTTTTTCTCTTTTATCATATCACTTTTTCTCTCCTTTTTAACGTGAGAGTTAGAAACAACACTTACGTTATGTTAGTTAACACTAATAAAACCCAAAAAAGTCTATAAAAGTTTAGGTTCGGGTCACTGTTAACTTGTATATATTGTTTTGGTTTTCTGCTTCTTCAACTGTTTTCTGTGGTGGTTTTCAAACTTTTCTGCCTTCTGAAGTGACTCAAGATTTCATTTTTATGAAAAGGGGTTTCATGGGTCGTGAGACTACTGTGAGATTTAGTTTGGGTGATCAGTGTTAAGTGTTAGTGCTCCCTGTTTCCAAAAAAAAAAAGTGTTTGGTATGTGTTCTTCGTTTAGTGTTCAGGTATCTTGACCAGGGTATATCTCACTGCTTCTACATGCATTCATTAATTGTTGTTTCACTTTCTTTGTAGTTTTTTGAATGATCACTGTTGATTGCTTCTCCCTGAAGCTCTTGTCAAATGATCCTCTCTCTTAATAAAATGGGTTGTTTTTGAATTTACATTCTGATTTAGTGTTGTTTTCTTTTTCTTTCCGGTGTCTCCATCTCTGTTGGATTTGGTGGGGTTGGTGATGTCAATGGTTTTTACTTGAAATGTCTTCATGTGCAGCTGCAAGTTGTCTATTGTTATCTGAGTGTTGAAAATTTTGGAGCTTGTGAAAAGCACTGAACTTCTAGTGATGCTAGCTTCTGATGTGTTAAATGGGAGCTTATGCTTGATTTGAAGCTGAACATAACCCTTTTGGTTTCTGAGATGATGCTGAAAAGATGTTACCCTATGACTTTTATGCAATGGGGTTTCTTGGCTTGCTTTCTTTGCTTTTGTGTGGGACTTGAAACCCTATCCCCATCCTGTAACCCCCATGATTTATTGGCCCTGAAGGAATTTGTTGGCAACCTTACAAATGGGTCTATCAAAACATCATGGTCCAATGATGTTGTCTGCTGCAAATGGGTTGGAATTGTCTGTGATAATGTGATTGATGGAGCAGCTGCTAGTAGAGTTACCAAGTTGATTCTCCCTGGAATGGGTCTGAATGGAACAATTTCAAGCTCTTTATCCCATCTAGATAAGCTGAATGTGCTAGATCTTTCGTTCAATCATCTCCATGGTGGATTGCCTTCTGAGCTCTCCAAGTTGAAGCAGTTAAAATTTCTTGACTTGAGCCATAATATGCTGTCAGGGCCAGTTGCTGGGGCACTTTCTGGTTTGCCATCCATTCAGATACTGAATATTTCAAGCAATTTATTTGTTGGAGACCTCTTTAAGTTTGGGAAATTCCAACATCTCCTTGCTCTCAACATAAGCAACAACTCATTCACCGGCCAGTTCAATTCTCAAATTTGCAGCTTTTCCAAAGGTCTTCATATTCTTGATTTATCCACAAATCAATTTGCTGGTGGTCTTGAAGGGTTGGGCAATTGCAGCACATCACTCCAACAGTTGCATTTGGATTCAAATTTATTTTCTGGCCCTCTTCCTGATTCCTTGTATTCCATGTCAGCCTTAGAGCAACTCTCAGTCTCTGTAAACAACTTTTCTGGCTGGTTAAGCAAGCAACTAAGTAAGCTCTCTAGCTTAAAATCTCTAATAGTTTCTGGAAACCAGTTTTCAGAGGAACTTCCAAATGTGTTTGGCAATCTTTTGCACCTAGAACAATTTGTAGCACACTCCAATTTATTTTCAGGAGGATTGCCTTCCACCTTGGCCTTATGCACAAAACTTCGGGTGCTTGATCTTCGAAATAATTCTTTGGCAGGTTCTATTGATCTTAATTTCACTGGGTTGTCTAATCTTTTCACACTGGACCTTGCTAGTAATCATTTTATTGGATCCCTTCCAAATACCTTGTCCTATTGCCATGAATTGACAATGTTAAACCTTGCCAAGAATAAGTTAACTGGCCATATCCCTGAAAACTATGCAAACCTTGCTTCACTTATGATCCTGTCCTTGTCAAACAACAGCTTAGAGAACTTATCTGGCTCGCTTTCTGTACTGCAGCAGTGCAAAAATCTCACCACTCTTATCCTTGCTAAGAATTTCCATGGTGAGGATATTCCTGAAAGTTTAACAGAAGGTTTTCAGAGCCTTATGGTTTTAGCACTTGGAAATTGTGCTCTTAAAGGCCATATTCCTGCTTGGTTATTGAATTGCACAAAATTGGAAGTCCTTGATTTATCATTGAATCATTTGGAAGGTAGCATTCCATCTTGGATTGGTCAGATGGACAGTTTGTTCTACTTGGATTTCTCAAATAATTCTCTCACAGGAGAAATACCAAAAGGTTTGACAGAGTTGAGGGGCCTCATATCCCCAAAATATAGCATATCAAGTTTCTCTGTATCTGCTGTCATTCCTCTCTATGTTAAGAGAAACAAGAGTGCTACTGGGCTGCAATATAAGAAGGCCTCAAGTTTCCCTCCTTCCATATACTTGAGCAATAACAGATTAAGTGGAACAATATGGCCTGAAATTGGTCGTTTAAAAGCACTTCATATCTTAGATTTAAGCAGGAACAAGATCACTGGTACTATTCCTAGCTCTATTTCAGAAATGGAGAATTTGGAAACTTTAGACTTATCTAATAATGATCTCTGTGGAACAATCCCTCCATCATTTAGCAACCTCACATTCTTGTCAAAGTTCAGTGTGGCACACAACCACTTGCAGGGACCAATTCCAACTGGGGGACAATTTTTTAGTTTCCCTAATTCAAGCTTTGAGGGCAACCCGGGGCTTCGTGTGGATTCATCTCGCAACATCGTAAGAAATATGGGCTTGGGGCGCAACATTACTACTGGTTCTGCGAGAAAATTTGGTAGAAGCAGTGTCCTTGGCATAACAATTAGTTTAGGCATAGGCCTTGCACTGTCTCTTGCAATTGTTCTGCTAATAATGTCAAAGAGGCATGAGGATAAGCCAGTTGATAACTTTGATGAGGAGCTAACATTGCCAAACAGGTTACCTGAAGCACATGTTTCTTCAAAATTGGTGCTTTTTCAGAATTCAGATTGCGATGATCTCACTGTTGCAGATTTGTTAAAATCCACAAACAATTTCGACCAAGCAAATATAATTGGTTGTGGTGGGTTTGGTCTTGTATACAAAGCGAATCTTCCAAATGGCGCAACAGCAGCTATCAAGAGACTTTCAGGGTACTGTAGTCAAGTGGAACGCGAATTTCAAGCTGAAGTAGAGGCCCTCTCAAGGGCTCAGCACAAGAACCTTGTTTCTCTTAAAGGTTATTGTCAGCACGTCGATGACAGATTGTTAATTTACTCCTACTTGGAGAATGGAAGCCTGGACTATTGGCTGCATGAGAATGTGGATGGAAATTCAATTCTAAAATGGGATGTAAGACTCAAGATTGCTCAAGGTGCAGCTCATGGATTAGCTTACTTGCACAAGGAGTGCAAACCACATATTGTGCATAGAGATGTTAAATCTAGTAACATACTTTTGGATGATAAATTTGAAGCATATTTGGCTGACTTTGGTCTCTCAAGGCTACTTCAACCCTATGATACTCATGTTACAACAGATTTAGTAGGAACTTTGGGATATATTCCTCCAGAATATAGTCAGGCCCTGAAAGCAACTTTCAAGGGAGATATTTATAGTTTTGGTGTTGTTCTTGTTGAGCTTCTTACTAGTAGAAGGCCTGTAGAAGTCATCATAGGGCAATGTTGCAGGAATCTTGTGTCTTGGGTGTTTCAGATGAAATCTGAGAATAGGGAGCAGGAAATTTTTGATTCTGCCATTTGGGACAAGGATAAGGAGAAAGAGCTCTTGGAGGTGCTTGCTATTGCTTGTAAATGTCTTGAACAAGATCCAAGGAATAGGCCCCATATTGAAGTAGTTGTTTCATGGCTTGATAGTGTAGGATTGGATGGCTCTCAACAATCATCTTAGTTCATGCACTCAGTGTCAGATATCTGGGTTTTGGTTGGTGTATCATTCACAGTATACCTGTAAAGTATGTTTGTTTTATGGGGGTGGATAATCTTGATAAGGTGACCGCTTATTTGATTTTGAATCCTGAAGGGTGTGCATAACAATGTACTGTTTCTGAAAAAGAAATAAAGTTCTGTGAAGAGTCTGTGGAAAAAAAAAATATAACATATAATATTTTTCATTTTCAAAGATAGAGAATATATTTAATAAATAATTTTTTTAATAAATAGTATGTATTTTTCTTTTTTGGTAATCATAAATAGTATGTATTTAATATTAAATACATATATAGTATGTATTTAATATTGAAAGCATGTTATAGAATTTGTATATTTAATATGGGAAAGGTTATATTTACAAACTCTTACAAACTACACTAAGTATGATCGGTCATACTTCAATTAAAAGTATATGATAAGTCAAACTCAGTGTAATTTGTAAAAAAAGTTTGTAAACGGATCCTTTCTCATTTAATAAATAGCTTTAATTTTTCTACAATGAATGTAGATAAGTTATCTACATTCACTCCTATAACAATGTCCTTTTGGGTCGAAAGATTAAAAAATTATAATGAGAACGATTATTATAACCTTGAAATAAATTATAATTATAAAAATATCTTAATTTTTGTCTCAAAATGACGTCGTTTGGAGTTCAATGTAGATAATTTATTTACATTGATCACAAAAAAAATGAACCCTTAATAAATTGTGTTAAGCATCCTTATTAAAACAGACACAAAGTTGTATTCTTATTAAAAAATTATATTTTAATTTTGAAATCTAAATATTTTCTTAATGAAAAATATAGGTACTTCTTTAACTTTAAAAAAAATTGTGAAAAAAATAAGCATAAAAAATTATTTTTTCAAAAGACTTTTAAGTAGTCACATAGAAAAAAGAAGCATGACATGTATACAAATATAATAAGGGGAATTGTTTTACCAAAAATAAAATAAAATAAGGGTAATTGTTTTCTCCGGAGAAATTTTTTTTTTTTTTTTACGAAAAAAATAAAAATTCTACTAACTCATATCATGAGTGGAGCCCATAAAATAGTGAAAAGTTAAAAAATACAAGGTGGGGTCCATTAAATATTGGGTCTGCAGGAATAACTTGTTTTCTCTTTTAAAAAAAGAAAATGTTTCCCCATAAAATAATTAAGATATAAAGTTACAAATCAGCTTGTAGTGTGCATGGTCATCTATTACAATCTATGTTGCACCACGAGATATTGGACACAATACGTTAATTTTAAAAAATATTAGATTTCGATACTGTATTATACGTTTTAATATTAAATAATATTTTTAATTTATGTAGTGTATATTATATTTAATATTCAATAATTTAATAAAAAACTGAAGCGTAAAGCAAATATCAAATTTGCAAAGAAACATAAGATATTACAAATATTTATATTAAACTCAATAAAATGATAATTATAATTTAACGAATTTAATAGTTAGAACTAAAAATACAACCTAGCATGATGGAAAAGTATCGAAAAATATCAGACATAACAAATCAGGTTTTTTAAAGTGTAAATGCATGATGGATTACGACCTAGCATCATATAACTCCTTGTTATTTTTCGTTGTTATTAAGCGAGGCTGTTTCGGTGATTCAAATTTCCGTCTTCTTTCATTTTTGGGCTGGGCAAGAGAGAGTATACAGCATAGTCCAGAGTCTACTGATTCAAATTCTTTCTTCTCTGTTGTTCAAAAAAAAAAAAATCTTTCTTCTCTACATGTTTCTTATATTGTCTCTTTGATAAAAAAAATATATTAAAAGTTATATTAACAGAGATAAAGTTACATCTTTTTTCTTAGATGAAAGTAATTGTTTTGGTGGCAGTATTTTTAATTAATAATATTTTATTAATTAAAAAGAAAAACCATATAATTAGAAGGATAAAAAAGTTAAGCCACTAAAAACAAAATGGTGCATGTTTGATTACAATGTGCACCCCCTAAACTAGGTTTGGGGTTTACAATCTGAGTTTCACCTTACTTAATTTGCATGGTAAATAAGTTATGTATAATCAGATTTTGATCTCAAAAACTTAGTTTAAAAACCAAAATGGAAAGAATTTTACTTTTCATTTACCCAAACTCCATTTTACTAGATGAAAACTATTATGGACCCGTATAAGGGGCTCATTGATTGACAGACCCAACAAGAGGAAATCTAAGATTTAAATCAAGCATAACTATGGAAAGGTATCCATCAAGGATACTAATCCTAATACGACAATATGACAGATGGGCTTGTGCCCTTATCAGAGGCACTAAAGGTCCATATTCTACTACCCACAGGTAAATCCTATAAATAAGAGGTAAAACCTAAAGGTACGTTACGCTCTCTCTTTTACTGTTATGCTGTCACTGTGTGCACGCACACTCCCATTGGCAAAGCCGTTATTTGTTCATTGTGCACAATGATCTGCTTGACTCAAAGGTATCTCCTTCATACCTTGGAGAGGGCATTAGATCCAAGATCAACATACCAGTCCATTGGACTGGACATCTCTGTCTCCAAGACAGAACATTGGCGTCGTCTGTGGGAAATCGACAAATTTGATATTCCCACAATCGTGATTGAAGATGGCAGTCCGTACAAGGAGCAATAGCCAACAGCCACAACCTCCAAACCAGCCGCTGGGTCCCATTTTGGAAGAGGTGAATGAACCTCTCCAACAACAGGAAAATGAGGTGGACTATGATGCGGTCTATGTCAGCGAGGATGTAGCAGACACAGCCTATACGCCAGCCCCTCGCAACCGAGTTGTTGATCCATCTCCCAATAATCTTCTGCCTCAGAACCCTATGGAAGTAACTGCTCGTGTTGCACAGGCTGCAGATCCTGATTCTCGTCTAAATCAGAACATGTTTGCATTCTGCGCCATATAGAAGATATGGAGAGTCATAATAACCTCCAACGACTAGATGATTTTAGGAGAATCCAGGAGGAAAATGTGAGGAGAATGCAGGATTTGGAACATCGATTGATGGGGATGGGAGGACATGGATCAGAAAGGATCCAAGGCCGTGATGTCAATGGTCGCAATGGGAATCATAACCCGGCTGATCAAGCCCGGATTGCAGAGGTTGAACACCAAGGAGGGCCAATGAGTTTGCCAAATCTCGGAACTACTGTGGGCCTAAATCTGGGAGACCACAGAGTGAACAACCAGAATACTGACACGCAACCTCTAGTCTAGAACGCTTCGATAGGAGCAAATATACGGAGGAGTCAAGATGGGACGCACCTTAATCATGATGCCCCACCCGTTAGAGGGCGCGTGGAACCCGGCGCATACATGAGGAAGTATAGTAGGGGGCAGTATAAAATAGTCCCTTCACTGGTGAAATACTGAATGCTACATTCCGGAGGATTTCGATTCGGTACACTTGCCGAAATATGATGGAAGTCAGGAACAGGTCCATATAGATGCATTCGACCCAGACATGTATTCCGAGGAATTGATGAACCCATCAAATCCCGGATATTTTCCATAACTTTGACTGGGGCTGCGCAGGCATGGTTCTCAACCCTACCTGCCATCTTCATTGGATCTTTCGAAGAATTCGGAGAGAAATTTCTTCTGAATTTTGCAACAACAAAAAAACACCCAAAGTCCAAGTTCGCACTTGGGAAGATACGACAGAAACCCGGAGAAACCCTCCAGAGGTATCTCAACCGGTTTAAAGATGCGGCCTTGCAGGTGCCGGGTTTGCAAGAAAATGTCCACGTCCAACTCATTGTGGCCGGCCTGGATAGATCATCTAGACTAGCCATATCGGTTTATAAAGACCCTGTGAGGACATTGGAGGAATTCAGGACCCGTTCAAAGAAGTACCTGGAACTTGAACAAATGAAGATAACAAATGTGCAATCTGAGGAGGGTAAAAGAACGAGTCTGAGAAGGAGGAGCCCGACCTCAAGAGAAAAAGAGCGAACAGGTAATAAAAAGAAAGACCCCCAAGACAGAATCCCGGATGATAGAGACCGGGTTGGAAGGTATAAAAAATACACACCATTGAATGCCTCGCACTCTCAAATTTGGAGGAAAGTGGCAATGACAGAGATGAAAAAGGCAGATAGACCTTGACCCATATTTGACAAAGGAGGGTTGGATAAGTCCAAGTATTGTGCCTTCCATGATGGACCAGGGCACACCAATGATTAGTGCTGGGATTTGAGGGATGCTGTGGAAAAATTTGTTAGAGAAGGGAAATTACGCTAATACGTTATTAAGACTCAGGGTTCCAAAAATAATAAGAGGAAGCCCGGAAACTGGAAGAGAAGCAAGAGTCCTATAACACCTCGTACTTCTAAATGTATAATTATATGAGATAATGATGTTTAAAGGGTAGGATTAGTGAAAATCCTAAAATTAGGGCCAAAATACGTAAAAATGGCAAAATGGTAATTTACCAAACACGTAACCCTAGGCAAGAAAAATTGAGTAGAAGATCTCAAATGGTAAAAATAATGCCAGAAATGGATTCAAAACGAAAAATCGAGTGGATAGGCAAGTTTAGGAAAATTTGATGAATAATGATTTTACCGGTGTAAAATATTGCGGTATAATTGTACCGATTAGCGTGAAAATAAGATCAGTATTTTGGGAAGTAAAAATATGACGTGAATGAGAAAAATACGTAGATTATAAATTTGTGGGTTAAATTGGATGATTTAAGAAAATTAGGTGACATGTGGGACCCACTTAAGTGACTTAAGTAAGAGATTAGGCCAAAAGTGTCACAAATTCTGATTTTTCTCTCTCCTTCCTCCTCCTTCACCATCGAGCTCTCATCCATGGAAATGGGTTTGGTTCTTTGAAAATTTTATCTCCATTTCTAGACACTTTTTAGGGAAACTTCCAACTACAAAGATGTTACCCATCCTCTTGTGAGTGACTTTCCTCTTGAGAGCATCTTGTGCGGTGTAGGG